ACTATCTTATATTTATTTTTGTTCACTTGATCTTGAGAATGCGTCCATGATGGACACGAAACGTCGATCCTTTTTGTCAATAAATTTTGTGTTAAAGTTATATGGTAAACGTCTGTTGATTCGTATTAATTTTTTCCTGGTTTAATTTAATTAATTTGTTTATGTTAAAGATCAAGTTTAATTTTTATACTTATGTTCTAATTGTATGTACTGAGGGTCCCAATTGATCAGCTCAGGCTGGATGGACCACCCTCACAAACTATTGTTTAAAAAAAATAAATAAATAAATAAATAAACACCATACTCCCAAGATGGACTGTTAAAGAGGCAGAAATAGCTGAGAGATTGCAGAAACTGGACACACTTCATATGTCAGGCAGCAAGTGCAGATAATGCATGATGGTGACTGGTAGGTAATGTGCAATCAGGCACGTAATAATGTAAGGAAAATACAGCTAACTGTCAGACTACACTAATAGGAAGGAACTAACATTTGACACTGTGGAGAAAAAGACCAACACAGACATGAGTGGATAATATTTGTTGTAGCCTGATATGTAAAAAAAAGATAAAAAGGATTATAACTAACGTCAGATTTTACCTAGTGCCAATTGTAACGGAAGTATTGCGGTAATGTTACTAGAATATGTGGTTGTCTGGAGCATACCTTATCATTATCAACATGACCACATTCGACCGAAAACCATTCCATCAAGATTTTCTAGATATTACAGTAATTGTAGCTCAATTGCCTGAAGGGGCATTGTTACAGGCTTTACAAAGTTTAAGAGAGTGAAATACATTATACATAGGGGCCAATTTCTCTATGTAATATCAAACCCATCTGAAAAATTCTGAAATTTCAGAAAAATACACACATGATATATTTTTCCTCTTATACAGATTATTAACCAATATACTTGTTGTTATACTGTATTCAACATACTGTTAACCAAACACACGTGCAAAAAAGGTCTGATGATGAATCTTGGACAAGAGGGGAGGTGGCTACAAGTAAGACTGAATAAAAAATATATAATATTATGTAATTATAGTAAAGTTCTGAGGACCCCACAGAATAATGGCTCCTAAGGCTTCTATTTTCTATAGGGCCATCTGAAAAGTTGAGGCCAGCAATGTCTAGGGAAAAGCTCCCTGGATCCCCACCACGACTTATGGTTCTTGCTGGTCTTATTGAGAAATTGTCAGACCTCCAGTCAGAATGCTTGGCCCCAATGAATGTATACTAGAATCACCACTGAGCAAACAGTTCAAGCAAGTCATAAACTGCCACCTATTTCATCCTTATTGTTGTACTTCTTTTGGAGGCCAGCTTTACCCACTAGAACCAGAACATTGGCCGTATAATAGGACAGAAACGAGGTTCCGGGGTACATGATATTTAGGACATTGCCCCAATATTGCTTTTGTGGGAAAGGAGTTAAAATCTAAAAGAATTTAGATCGCTTGCAGGGGGTATGTGACTGTGTTTTAGTACATCATCTACTCACAACACATGTAGTGTTATTAGGCCCTTGAGTATTGCGACAATTAAACGAACGATATGCCTATTGAGACCAACATTCATTCGTGCAATGACCAGTAAACGCTAATTGGTTACGAAGATCAAGAATGCATAACTTGGGAGAGAAAACCAAACTACATGATTAATTTCAAAAACCCCCCCACAAATAATCACAATATACTAATATTATATATTATGTGGATCCTTAATGAATTGTTTGAAATATATGAATAGGCCTACTAAGGAAGTTCTTAGAATCTCTATCCCCCATTGTTGTTATTGACATTTTGATTTTGTTTGGTTATTTCAATCTGTGCCAAATTTGCAAACTTAAATAAACCCTCTACTTATATTAACTTAAGATTATTTATTTGAGCAGTAAAACAATATCTAAATTAAGCAAGTTATGTATTAAATTAAATTAGAAAGGTATATCTTTAATATTAATATATTTCTTCAATTTCCACAATCATGGCTCAGGTTAAATTATATTGGTAGGCTAAATTATATTGGTTAGTTAGGTAAAACAACACAAAAAAGCAAAAAATTTAAATATCAATTGAACAAAATTATATTTAATTAATTAATCAAATTCCCACAAAATGCAGACATGACAAACAGTTCAGCGGAAATATCAGATATTAAAATAATTTTTAAAACAAAGTCAAATTGTCAATTTTATTCATAAAGGATTATTCGTAGAGCTGAAGTAATCACGTCCCATGTGAAACGTCTGTTTTTGATAATAGAACTTGACTAAGGCCAAAGGAAACAACTTACATTGCTTGGATTGGATCCGATAAAGAGTCATTCACCTAATCAATGAACTTATTTGAAAAACATGATACAAATTAAGATAAAAGAAATTTTAATTTAATAATTCATAATCAATCAAGTAGTAATCATTGGATCTTCTAGGATATAATTTACCAGGAATTCTCTCATTAGTCATGTGAAAACAGTGTTTGAATTTGCAGGGGATTGAACTAAAGATCTAGTGGTTTTATCGGCGAGCACCACAAATCTACAGTAATGCCCAAAAATATCTTTGTGCTAATAATGGTATAATTTTGAAAAATCCTCTTTGCAATCTTTAAATAATAAATGGATTTTAGCATTTTTGTTACCCTTTTATCAAACCATTGCTACTGATTCAATGAATCCCAAAGGCAAACAGTAAACTAAAAAATTAATGATCAACCGACCAAATTTCAAAGGACAATTGTGAACAATACAACCATTTCTTCTGGCCTAATTACAATTATAGCAACACAAACACCAAAACTTTTTATTCATTATAAATTTTAAAAAATATATATACACAAATGTTAACCGATGCTGCAGTTCTAATAAGCCCATCTATTATTTTGATTTGCTGTAATGTTTCTTGTTTGATGTTTTAATGTGTTGCTGAATTTGGGGCTGGGTAAACCGGCTTTGCCACA